ATAAACCGCACAAATTGTTCGCAAGAGACCGAGAGCAGCTGGTATTTGTGCACAGCTCCATACATTTGAATTCAACTAGCGCTGAGAGGTCGCAAAGTACATACTGATTGGTTAAGACGTATGCCTTTAGAATTTGAAGGCGATGTCAATAACATCAACTTAACTTGTCAATTTGGAACATAGGACATGTTTGATTTTTATCACAAGACACTCTAGAATCACATTTTAAAATCAAGATTTAAACTTAGATTATCATGTTTTATCAACCACGAAAAAAATCAAATCACTTTGAACCAATAAATTCTCCTCGAAGCAGGAAAATTTGACCCGTCAAAAATAAGTGATTTTACAGTAGTTAACAGATTTCTACAACAAGTGATGTTTTAATGGTGTGCCGGTGAAAAGACAAATACTGACCCCCATCGAATAATGAGCGGGGGTCATTTTTTGACAGCGAAAAATGACCCCCAGTAATTATTCGATGTCAAAAAATGACCCTTTTGCCCGTAGAAAAAGTGTCACCACCCTAAAATTTTGCAGAACCCACGTACAGAAAAATGACCCCCCTAGAAAAATGACTCCCTGCGGATTAAAGCTGAATTTTTGGGGGGACAAAAAGAAGATAAAGAAGCATATTGGCCAAAATGCTCACCAGATCTAATTGGGAATAAATTGAGGATATGTTGATCTCATATCATTATACAAATATAGCTATAATTTAAGGTCAATGTGATGATTCAGAGTCTAAAGGAGTATAAAAAAATTATCGAGCCTAAAGGATTAGGTAATTATTGTTTTTCGAAGGTGGAAACCATCGTACGCACAGAAAAAATCAGCAGTATTATACATTATTATATCCTCCGCGTGAAAAGCGGGAGGGTATATAGTGATCAGGATGTCAGTTGTCGCATTATATTTGGTCCGCCTCGTTTAAAGGTCCGGCAGGACCTAATACAATTACATATTAGGTCCGTCTTTTATAAGAAAAGGTAAAAGAAAATGTCCCTCCACGTTTTAAGGTCCGGGTGGTGCAAAATGTTTAAATTTAATCTTGACTTTAACATATGAAATTATAGAAAATCAGTTTATACTGTATGATAAGAAGGATGTACCCTGTTGTGTTTTACTTTTTGTACAACATACATGTATCTCTAGACAAAAATCTGCTCGTTTAATGTGCCATAAGCAGTGCCGTTTTGGACCATAACTTCTTAAAAAATAATGCCACAATTATTGTGCAATTATTGTGCAAGTGTTTGTTTTTCCTTAGAATTTGCTTTGTGTAAATAAGTACGATTAAAGATGTGAAATCTATCTGTGTATAAATCTAATAAAACAATGGGGGTGTGACGTATTTGTTTACCTGACGGCTACCCACAGGTAGAGCCCGCGGTATATGGCGCTGTCATTGAAAGGTCGATTATCAACAAAAGCAACAAGAAATACTCTTAGGGCTACCTTTATTTATCTATAAGGAGGGACTATAAATAAGCTTAAAATAATGTACTATTCTACTAATTCTCAACTGTAACTTCACCACAATACTTTCAAGTATACCCCCACCAACATTTAAAGTATGCTTTAATCATGGCAAAATAAATTATGAAATGATTTTATTTGTGTGAAGGCTTAACTTCATTTCAACATTTTATCTAGAGCTTTATGGGCGGCGGAAAGGGTAAATAAAAAAGACGTTAATGCAAAACTAACAATTAATTTTATAAACATAATGAGATACAAAACAGACAACCTTAAAAACAAAATCAACAGACTCATTTGCAAAACCAACAGACTCCGATGCGAAACCAACGATCACCAATGCAAAACCAACGATTATTCATTGAATTGTCGCTAGATGGCGTACAAAACCTATATTACCTGAATTAACGCTAGATGGCGCGCAAGGTTTTCTATGTAATTATTACTTTTTGTACATTCATAGGAACGTAAATCACGAGAAATCATATCTCAGGATCCAATTAGTAAACCTCGGAATGTATTATAGAATATATTATCGGTATAGAAATTAGTTGTACTAGTATATCGGAATACATATAATAAGGGATTATATACTACCGGTATATAGTTCATTATATACCCATTTTCATCTATTAGATTGACCCAGTGTATATTTTAGGGAATGACTTGAGTACTTTAGATTATTTATAATGAAAAGAAATTAAGGCAAGATGTGTGTATCCATATCCTTTTTTTGGGGGGGGGGGGGGCTTAAAAATAAGGTGAAGTAATGTAGGACATCGATTATACTGTTTTCGGACTCGAAAAAATTAGGCAAAATGCACATGGGACAAGGTCTACTGCGCATACCATGGCAAAGATGCCACCACACCTTGTACAGGAGTACAATAAAGTCTCATCCTTGTAGCCCTACAGTGTAAATTTTTTGGCGGATCCAGAGGGGGGTGGGGCGGGGGTTTCCGGAGGTTTGAACCCCCTTTTATTTTTGTACATAGAGAGAAAAAATTCTGTTATATAGAATAAGTCTAATATTTTGAAAAAATGAAAAATCTTTGTCCGCTCTGCTCTGTAGATCTGTAGATTTTTGCCTACCTTCCCCCGTGTACCTTCCCAATCCCGGCTAAGAGTTCCGACCACTCACAAGCAACACGAAGAAAAAAAAATGCAGATGGAGGGGATTCATTTTTTTCTGAGAATAATCTTTGCTGTAGTTTAAATTAATATTTTGATTTGGAGACTCCCTCTACAGTTTTTATTGCCGGAAAATACACAGATTCGAGCATTAAATGACAGTATATAATGCAGTCCAAAGAGAAAAGTTACAGAAAGCCTCCACTACCCCAAATAAAGACTATAGAGTGTGGTGCAAAGGTTTTTTTTTTTTTTTTTTTTTTTTTTGGTTGTTGTTGCTTTTTTTGCTTTTCAACTGTTTTTGGAGCCCCCTTTCTTATAAATGTATGTAGTAACGGACTTCAAATGGTTGTGTTAAGATTCTATGCATGAGTGATGGGGCACCGACCTTCCGAAAAATTGCTGAATCCGCCAGAAACAGAAAACGTGAAAATAAGTGTCACCTATCATAAATTTCGTATCACTTTAAGGGGGTCATTTTTCAATAGGGGTCAATTTTTTTAGGACTGAAATATAAAATAATGACCCCTAGGTCTCTTTTTTCTACAAAAAATGAATTCTTCCTACGGGTAGGGGTCATTTTTTGTCGTTGAAAAATTACCCCCGGTCATTATTCGATGGGGGTCATTATTCGTCTTTACTCCGGGTACTCCGGATACTCATTGATATCTTAAAATGAATGTCTGTGCAGTCAAGGGATCATTAATGGAAATCATGCAAATACCATGGATACACTTTTCTTGCAGATAATTGTAAAGGTTGTTAATTTTCCGTTCTGCGTTTTAGCAAACACAGAGGTAACGAGGGTATACTTTAGTTAATAAACATAATTATCACTTTTTTCGTGCAGACAGACAGACAAGGCAAAAACGATATTTCCCCAAAACTTCTTTTCTCTTTAGGTTATTGCATGTGCAATGTGTTTGAAAAAAGTCTGACTCTGGAAATTTATCCAAAAAAAAAACCTACAATTAAATCAAAAGTAATCTTTACTAGAATAACAGGATGTTGAAATATTTCATCAGGTGTCCGTTCAACGATTTTGTTATCATTATTCAACGTTGAAAAGTCCTCCCCGAGAACATTTAGCAAATTTCAAAAGTTCTGGGCAATTTCTAAATAAGGAAGTCAAGAGCGATAACCCTGAATTACTATAAATACACAGTTTAAACAAATTGGTAGTCCTTCTGACCAACCAGACCACATTTATACAAACCCTTTAGAAACTAAATACATGGTTTTTTGTTTTTTGATCAAAAGATATTTTGGAACAATTTTTGTAAACTTTATGCATCGTTAGGAAGAATATAATATTTATTATAACTCAACTTTAAAAATACGAAACTTGATAAGCTTAGATAAAAGTTTTGAGTGGGATTAAAACTGTGTCACTAAATATACATAGGCAATTTAGCCACATATGATCCACATATACATTGCCTTTCATATGAGGATCATATGTGGATCATATGAGAATCATATGTATATACAATCATATGAGAATCATATGAGAATCATATGAGAATCATATGTGGCTAAGTTGCCTGTGTAGGAGCTTGCAATCCCAAAAGTTTAGGTTACGTTAAAAATTTTCATCTAAATACGAAATTTTTCAGGCTTAAGACCCTGACATAAAAAAAATCTTTTCGAATGAATAACAGTCCTATTTTTTTTTTTTTTTTTTTTTTGAAAATAAAATTATAAAAAAATCAAAACCAACCATGCAGTTTGTGGTATGATTAGTAAGATATATATTTGATATATTGAGATAAAACGCATTCGTGTATAATTATTTTTGTTTCATCACATATTACATGTTTACAACTTTCTTTATGCCCAATTTTAAAACGTCTGCATAGCGTAGTGTTCGGCGCTCATGAAATCCGTGATATTCTAAAACGATAAATAGTCCATACGATAAACACATAAGGGAGGTGGATCTTTATACATGCAATGCAAGTATGAACATCGGATGACTAAGCAAAACTGTACATGTATTTACCAACAAATAGCATAATATTCTGGTAAATACTATAATTGAACTGGATAAGAACTTAGTGGCGTAATTGATTCCTCTGTAAACTATTACATTGTATCATGTGCATTGTTTTTTTTCTTTCTTTACCGAGTTAAAAAATGTCAAGGTTCTTCACAGTAAATGTGTGGGGAATGCAATATTCTTCGAATGTTTTAATCTTACTTCTAAATAATTTTTGTTAAAAAAATCTGTCTAATGAAGAAACAAAAGCACGTATTTTCTTTCTGTTCTTTTAAAATATGTTTTATGTATGCAAAAATGCTGGTATCTGCTTGGACAGACAAATAATTACATGTACATGATGTATATTTATTGAATCTTTCAGTGATTGTTCTTGACTTCCATACTTGGTAATCGTCCATACCTGTTCAACTTAGGTTAAAATTCTATGCCACACCGGAACAAAAGCATCTGAGCGTGACTTAAAAATCTTCCAGGTGTGGTCAACATAGGTTTGAATTTAGTTATGCAAGTAAAGGTAAGAAAAACTTTTTAATCACCGTTACATTAAACATAAATACAAACCCGTTTCTTTTGTAATACCGTAATTTCCTCTTAAACAAAGAAGTAGATTAAAAACTCTACTTTCGATTTATTAAAAACATGATCTAATTGTAAGGAATATCGTTACAGATGCTCCCCAAACCCTCCCCATGTTCCCTTTAGGGACCCATTCCCTGAAATTAAACTTAGATAAACAAAAGCTCTGAATATATTTAAACAACGTATTTTCTGTAATATCTTAATACACATATAAAACGAATGGATACGCAAATCAGATAAAAGTACATAGATATGGCAGGCCATATTCACAAAAATAAGCTAAACACATATATTTTCAAAATCGATAAACTAGGTTTATCGGTTGTAAACTATAGTTTACGAACTGTAAACTATAGGTAACAACGTTAATCTATATTTTACATCTATAAACCATAGTTACCGCGATAATCTATGTTTCAGAAGCGTTACAATGTAACTATACTTAACACTGAAAACAAGCATTGCGATTGCAAAACAGAGATTATCTGATAAATACACTCTCACGATTTGTAAACTATGGTTTACAACTCCCAAAAATAATTAACGGTCTGATAAACATTGTTTCAGGATTTGTAAATTTATCATTAAAAACTCTTTACTATAGTTCATGATTGTAATTTATAGTTTACAGACGTGGATATATATGATTATCAACCAAATCTATTGTTAAAGTTTTATTACCAACAGACAGACTAAGATTAGCATTCGTTAACTATCGTTAACAACCGTTAAACATAGATTTACAGATGAAAACTATAGTTAAGGAATTGTTAACTATAGTTTACTGATTGTAAACTATATTTTACTGTTTATACAATTTAAATACATGTATGTTTAGCTCATTTTTGACATACATATAAGAGGGCCTTTCGGAAATTATTGAGACATTATTTATATTTTTCTTTTAGATAAACCTCGATCAGTGAAAATTTGCATGTGCGTTTGAAATTAATAATTTATAAAAGCAAGAAATATTTTACAAATATTAAATTTCTTCTCTTCAGAGTTACATAATGTGTCAATGGTACAGTAAGGGCACCTGGCGTAGTTACGACATCGGATATAAGAATATGTAACACCAACGTTGAAACTCCCCGTGGACCCATGATAAGTCGAAAAAAATTCAATTACTATGTTTATTTTTCTTTAAATTTGAGGACCGGGCTCCTCTATACTTACATGTTAAAGTTTTGGTATATAGGGATTGAGGTGAAAGAAGTTTTTAAGAATGTAAAGGTAGCTATGCATGAAAAAATACATGTATACATTAAAATGTTATTGATTCTCTAGTATTTTATTCATCGACCGGAAAGATTTTGAGATATGTGATTTTTCATAGTTTACACAATATATCCACAAATTAAAGTGGGCGACGGTGTCAGACACTTTTTTCTAATGGAAAATTAGTAGAGAAATGTGTCATTTTGAAGCTTTTCTGAATTAAACTTAGAAATGTACCAATCAATGACGTTATTTTTCCAGAAAGGTCCTTCTTCATGCTATATTCTTTTATGATTCATTATATTCATCTACTCAACTATTGTTGAAGCCCGTTTCATAACTTTTAAGGACATTAAATTTTTTGGGCACAATTGTGCTCAAACCGTAATTTCTTCTTCAACCAATTTGGCACAAAGCATCTATGGTGATGGGGAAAAAAAATTGTTAATTTTATGCCCCCCCCCCCCCCCGGCCTGAAGGGTTGGGCCAAAACTACTAAAATAAATGCAATCATATTCTTAAGTCCTGGACATCAAACACTCAAACTGTTGGTATGATTGTAATCAGTATTAAGTCTTCTACCAAAATTCTACCAAAATCGTGAAAGTCATGGACCAAGGGTCAGAAGTTCTAATGCTAGGGTGGGGTTAAATAGAGTATATAGTGAAAATGCATTATTTTATTGAAATTCTTCTTCACTACTCCTTGGAATTAAATAAACTAACCAAGTAAATAGTTATGCTGAAAAAGGCTGCCTCTTCTTAAATTGTAAATTTTATGGACACAGGGTCAAGGGTTTTTTGGTGCTAGGAAGGAACTTTATAGATTATATAATGAAAATGAATTATTTCTTTTCAAATATTCCGTGCTCCTGGGTATTAAAAAACATATCAGTAAGATAGCTACATAGTTAAGTTGAAAACTGCTACATCTGATGAATTGTTGTCCCCAAGGTCAGGCCTTCTGGTGCTAGGGTGGAGCTAAATAGATTATGACGTGAAAATGTATATTTCTTAGAAATTCTTCTTCTCTGCTTCTGGGCTTTAAATAAACTAGCCAAGTGAATAGTTTTGTTGAATAAGGCCTGTCTCTTTCAAAATTGTGAATTTCATGCATATGGCCCCAGGGTCAGGGATACCGGCGGAGGGGTGTTATACATAGTCTGAAAATATATGAATGCTTTGAATTATTCTCTTTGCTATAAATAAACCATTTATTGTGAAAGAAAATTTATGATGAAATTTGCAAAATGTCGAAATATGTGGCCCCAGAGCAAGTGCTTTCTTTGGGGTTGGTATGCACTTTGATGGTCATAAATCGGAAATACATTTTTCCCTTGATACTCTTATCTACCTCTGGGTATTAATCTAACAAAGAAAGCTTGTGGATTTTATGGCCTTTGTTTGTAAGTTCTGTGGACATTTTGCCTTTATTTAAACATTAAATAAAATAAAATGAAAGAAAGGTCTGTAAGAGAACATTGAATCATAGAGATAACCCCAACCATTTTCTAAATTGCTAACTGTAAATCTGTATCATTTAGTTTTGATGTATGTATGAACTACTTTAGAATTAACGTACTTCTCCTCATAACAGTATGTAGATATATCTTCTAAGATCATTGCATCCTTTAGAAGTCTTTATAAATATTTGGATTATCCCTTGATCAACCCTTGATTGGCATCAAAGTCAATTCCTTTACCTAAAAGTGTAAATTAATAACGTTTTTAGTCACCAAAGTATTAACAACAATTCTGTTTAGCACGTTCAGCAATTGTGCCAATGCAATTTTTGTGCAACAATTAAGAATATCATAAATGTCCGCCAACATTTAGGAGTTATGATATTTGAAATTTATTTCAATTCAATACACTAGTATGTGTCTGTTAACGACATTAAATTATTTACTAATCCCGGTCAGCCTTTCCTGTATTAATCGTGACAACTATACTACAAAAGAACAACACTCAGCTGGATGCTTCAAAACATTAGATTTGTACAAATCAAAAACTGTCCTTCTTTCATGTTGCTAGAATCGTGAGGTAAGCATGGTTTGAAGGAATAACAAGGGTTACCTGTATCAAATTCAATACATCTGTTTGGATTTCATGGAATATGTATTTTACTGACAGAACGATGGGATTCTAGCAGCAAAATTTAGGCATAATATGTTATTCAGCTTAAACATTTATTCGTAGAAGATATTACCGTATGCTTTGAGGTAGTGTTGTTTTGTTTTCTTTTGTTTAAAGGAATATATGTGTTTCGCTATTTTAAAATATCGCCACATAGATATGGAGCTTCTTTGCAACGAATTCTTTTTTCTTTTTGCAATAGTTTATAAAAGTTATCAGTCGCTTTGGAATTAACAAACTTATTTTTTTTAATTCAATTTACCTGAGAAATGATTTCAATTTAATTATTGTAATTTACACATCACCACAAACTTGAAGTTTTATCTGTCAGATACATAAACTTTTTTAATTGTCTGAATCTCCCTGAAATCAATTTTTTGCAACTGTATATATTCTGAGGTCATTCGTTAGAGGTACGGACAATGCAACCAACGGGCTAGGGTGCCTAATACTTTCACATTGAAAAAAATCTAACGATATTTCAAGATTTATTGTGGGGTAAATGCATTTCAAAAGTGTGTTTGCAGACTCAAATTCAATATATGTTATGAACTCTTCCAGATGAAATGATATATAAACTGTGACATGGGATGGATAGATCATTTACCTTTTGTTCAATTATGCCTGATTATTATTATCGTAAGTATTTTGTTACCATGGTTTTATTTAAATTGTTTGATATTTAATATTTTTTCAAAGTTAACTTAAAGACAATACACTTTGAGATTTACGTCTATCTAATAATGCATACTATTGAAATTTTATAGCTCACCGTCTCGTCTGCTCAGCGCTGTCCTCCGTCCGCCAGGACAGAATACAATGTTGCACAATGTCCAGAAAACGAAGAAAGTACAAAGAAAAGAGCACAAATAAAAGGCTGTGAAAGGATTGAAGGGGAAACTTGTAACAATTCATCAAAATTCACGTATCACTGCCTTCCTACTGATCGATTGGGAACATTAGTTGAAGTCTGCGCCGTTGAAAAATACATTTATGGTAAGGACTTATAATATGAATAAAAGTATATTACAAAAAGAGGGAAGACTTGATGGGGTTTTGTAGCGTACAATGAGTAGGTCTTCAGTTAGATTTCAGATAAACTCTTCACTGGGAAAGTTACAGACTTAGTATGTATGTTTAACAGTAGATATGTTGATAGATAAGCAAATAATACATACAAATTCATTTTTTACCCGTGCGTGTGTATGTGTATGCAAGTGTGTTTGTCATTTCTGAATTATAGAAATGACTCTAAATGTCTCCGTCATTATACTATTTTACTTAGTGTCTTTAACATGTTTTAAACCTTGCTAGATTTTTTTTAAAAGCCTTTTGATAGGACGTATAAACCAAAAAAAATTTAAATAAATATGTACCAGTATATGATGATACTTTTGTTGTAGAAACATTATATTTACCTATTTTTATTATAAATGGCGCTGACTATTTTAACGTAGTCTTCAGTGCATGGAATTTGAGAATTCGGGAGCTGTTTCCAATGTGTCTCCATTTGATGTTATAATTCGTGTATTCACTGATTCAACTACCCATTGGATCTGTTTTTGAAAACAGAATAGAAAAGTACATAAAATTGATCCATAAAATATATTTTCATTTCTTCAAAATACTACATTAGGAACGGTATAGTAACATCCCTTCACATTTTTCAAAATAATTATGAGAAAATACCCTCCTTATAATTCGGGAATTATTTGTTTCTTCAGTTAAATGCTGTGTTAGACTTTTCGATAAAAGAGGAATTTCCATGTTGATTCTGACCTCAGAAAATACTCCAGCCGAGTCCCTCAAACCGCGGTCTACAATCAGAATGTCATCTTCCTTGATCCACGGTTTTATTTCTTGAAAATTAGTTGCAAAGATGGCATTAGAATTTTTGCAGTCATCCAAGTAGTGCCCAATAGCTGCAATGATGTACTCAGTAATTGTAACAATCATCATATGTTTAAAAAGATGTCGCTGCTGCTGCATTCTAAAAGATTGTCGCTGGAATGCAAAGTTTGTACTGTCCTAAAAATATACATATGTGCCATCAAGGACTAATATTGTTTTCTCAGTAGAAAAACTTGGGTCAAAAAGTTTTTTTGCAAGTGTTTTTGTGTGCTTTTGATTGATGATATCTCTGGTCTCTTAATGGAATCCCAGGTGTTGTGGAGAACTATGTTGCACAAAGCTTGTCTTGCCGTTGATACAGCAAATCTAAAACACAGACAAGGTATACATATCAATATGATCAATTTTCTGGTAATATGAACAGAAAAAAAAAACTTGTTTCCCTAAATACAATTGCAATTTTACAAATACAGTAGAACAAGGATATAGTGATCGCGCTTATAAAGAATTTACACTTATAACAAATCATTTGTCATTCGCCGGCCGAATTTCTATAAATGTCTTACCAAAATTAACGTTTATTGCGAAGTTGAATATAGCGATTTTACGGATATAACGAAGTAATTTTTAATCCCCTTTGGCAAAAAAAAAAAAAACCACTGAAATTCCAATGTCTATAGCGATTTTTTTTAGTTTTCACACTTTAGAGTTTCACACATTTCCGCATGGTCGCGCATTACGGTAGCAGCTAAACAAGGGACCAGCTTGTGTTGTAACAACAGAAAATTTAACTCATTATTCAAAAAATATGTCAAAGGAAAACAAATGCAAGATTTGTTTTGTTTATTTTTAACTGGAAACGCGAGTTGAAAATTGACTGTGATTATTTAAAAATGGCGTTCATTTGAAAAAAAAAACTTCAACTTACTCGATGAATGCATTCAAAAATTGAGAAATATGGTGCAAAATAAATAAATGATTAATGACTATAAAAAATGTTTGACTTTATAACGTGTTTTTTTTTTTTATTTTCTGCGAAATTTTTAGGGGAAGTTTCACAATACATATACCTCGATAAAATTAGTACAGATTTTTTGCTTATAGCGAATGTTGTTGTTAGTTTATTAAAATTTATTATAAACAATATAACCAAGTACATTGTATGCTTATAGCGAAGTAAATATAGAGGTCCTCAGAGTTTCGTTATATCCGTGTTTTACTATAGATCAAAAGGTATTTCAAATGTTTTTAAATGTTGTCAAAGTTTACTTTACTAAGACCTGTGTGGTAGACATCATCATTCAGTCCCTCTGCGTCAAAATCTAGGCATTTTCTTCCTTTAAGATTGGCTCGTCTCGTAGTTGTTGGAGAGCTCCATGATAGTTGATCTCTTTACGAACGAGTGATATTTTTTACCTGGTATGATCTCTAATTATTCGTGAGTGAATGTTTCGCTTGGCGCAGTGGTTAGAGATTCTGCTCTAGAGTTGCGAAGTAAGCAGTCAATCCTTACGTCGCAGGTTCGAATCCCACTGTGGGATGTTGAGACCAGTCCTTTGGATGAGACTGTTTAAGCCGAGGTCCCCTGTCGCAGTAAGTGCTGGCAAGAAAAAGATCCCTTCCTGCTCAATGGCACTGAGTGCTGAGCATAGGGAAAAAAATTGCAGCTCTCCATTGGCAAGTTGTGTCGTCTCCATATGAGTGAAAAAAAATTTCGAGAGAGAGACGTGAAACAATAAAAAATCAATTATAAATCAATCAATCAATCATTTTGTGTAATGTGAGGGACAGCATCGGGCTCCATTTCGAATTGATACGTTATTGCTTGACGTCACGGCGTCAGGCTGTATAAGGATTGATATTTCCGAGGTGCGAAGAGAAGAGGTCACAGTTAGCCAGCAGAATTTTGTGCATGCTGATTATGACTGGAATTTGTTACCTCTGTTTCAACAAAACATTTAGAAGAAAAAAAATCACCGTCTTACTGATACAATATATTGATGTGTTTCTTTCCCTGAGTCTTTTTGCATGCAGCTGTTTATTTCATGCGATTTCATATGCGGACATGTCCTTTTGACCTTTTTTCCGCATTTCTGTACTATTGGATGAGTCCATTTGTCTTCGAGGTAAGGGGTGTCACAATCATTTTGCGCCAATTGTCACAAGTATATCTTCGCGCCCTTTTCCTGGATGATTCTACTGCACTGCGGTGAATGGAAATGAAAACTTCAAGTCTGTTCTTTTTATCGGAATTTCGAACTTTGGGGAAAAAAACATATCGGTGATATTGTGAAAGAAGTTAGAAGTTATATCAATTAAAGTAAATAAAAAGAAACGGAAAAAATGTTCTTCAGAGGAAAACTGGCCAAATATAAATAATATTTCTGATCATATCTCGCCCGGACTCGCAGCCCCCCCCCCCCCCCAGTTTTCAGAGATAAAACTCTTCCTCTTATATGAAACACAGAAAATAGACTTAGGAAAAGTGTCCCTTCTATTTCAGGATTGAAGAATACTAGTGTAAGGAATCACCGTCAAGTTCGTTGGGTCATTTATGTATAACGGGCTGTTTACAACAATCGTTGATGCTCTGGCATAACAAAACAATCTAGTACTTAAACATATTCTGCATGTTAATCATAACGATTCATTTATTTCTTGTAATTATCATATTATCAGCTGTCTTCCTGGTAGTCTATGCAGTTGAATCTTATTCTAAATTTTAATTTTAAAATCAATATATAATCTTTACATAGGCATGGCTTTTCAGCATACATTAATTCATTAGTTTATTTCCCTTATTTAATTACTACATCTTCTAAAACCATTATAGAGTTGCGGAATGAGGTTTACGTCGCGCGTTCGAATCCACTGCAGGACGTGGAGATCGGTCCTTAGGATGAGACCGTTTTAAACCAAGTCCCGAGTCGCAGAAGGTGTTAGCACGAAAAAGATTACATGAAACTGCTCATTGGTCCTGAGTTCGAAGTATTTGTAACACTCCACATGCGTCCTTATACAACAAACGAAACACAGATCAAAACCAATTTTTAACACATACAAAATATACCTTTTAAATAAAATCTCACTGTTCTTTTTCCATCAGACACGTAGCAACAGAGGAGGGGGGAGGAGGCTGTCTCCCCACTTTTTTCCCAACCTTACTTTTACTATATATAGGAAATGTTACTTGAAAGGTTGGACACCCCCCCCCCTCTGTATATAACAGGAAATTTATTAAATAGAAATGCAGTATTTAATGCTAAAAAAATTGATACAGAAAGAACTTTACACTAAAAAAAAAGTTGGTCACGACCCCTACCCCCCCCCCACCCCCACCCCCACCCCCTAAATGGGATTTTCAACTTTGGGCATATTCCTTTTTTTGCAGGTGAATGAAAAAAAATTCAATTCTCTAGACCCCCCCCCCACACACACACACACTTTCAAGAACGAGGCTGTCCATTGCCTCATAAGTAGCAAACAACTTAAAATTAATGCATGATGTTTTGTTCAACGTCTTCATAATTTACTCTAATGAAATAATTACCCCTCACCCAAATGTAAACGTTTATATAAATAACTTATCATGATTATAGGTTCTATAGATATTGATTGCATTAGTCAGGCAAGCTTTTTTGAAAAGCTATTACTTGTGCGACAAATACACTTTAAACCTATACCCTCCGCTGATACAACTATTAACTTTGGTCATGGTTTCTTGAATAGAACAAAATTGGCTCATGACAGTGCTGTATATTGGCAGAGAAACTAAGGTTTACTTTGTATGTTTGTTGCTCTTGTTCGCTGATTTGGCTGCTGGGTATTGATACTGAAGAAGGAATTTATATATTTAATCCCTTTGAACAGGTAGCTGACTTTTTTCTGCATAGATAAGTATTTAAGTCTGCATTTGTTGCATTTGACTTTCCCATCTGTCTTACCTATAAAATGAATATCTATTCGGGATTTCACATGGGTTGCAGTCCTCAAGTAAAACAAAAAAAAAAATCTTATGTGAAACTTTATCGTTAATTTCTCATTTTGATATTTTTTCTTGGCCAATTCATGCAGCCATGTCAAACTTTAACTTCATACATGAAGTAGTTGTGATACGTTTAGACAAATTAGAATTAAACTGATCGATTCGGTTTGTTACTTTATATAAAGATAGGGCTCTCCTGTTATTGCACTATTAAAATTATCCACGTTTCATAGATATCCGAGATTTAAAACAGTGGCCGATTTATTTCCTACTCGAATAAAAATATCTAGCTTTAAAGTCAATTTAACCAATAGAAAGGTGGCGATATTTAAGTTTAAAATCGATTAAAAAAAATTAATTTGAACATTATTAGCAAATGTCATCTGCATCTATTATACAAAGGCCAAACATTTTCTACAGTAACTATATTTGTTCTTTGAAATTTCATAATAATTTTGCTCTCGAATCCTAATCATTAATCATTTTGATCTATTGAAATTCATTTTTTTTTCTCTTAATATAACTGGTTACAGATACAGTGGCTGGAACGTTATTGTTGACAAACCAATCGTGTAGAATCGTTCGTGTATCGTGAGTGATCGTTCGTGTAACGTGCGAGATCGTTCGTGTATCAGACTCAATCGTGTGCGTTTTTAATCGTGCGAGATCGTGCGTTTAAAATCGTGTAAATTTCGTTTTGTAAGTTTTTATCGGAATGTTATTTGTAAAATAAGGATTTCCCTTGTTTGTTTTTCTTAATTTATTAATTAAAATCCAAATAAAATGAAAAAGCGCGATTTACATTATAGAATGCAGAACGAACTAATTATCGCCTGTAAACAAGCAATATAGTAAGTCGTACAATATTAAGTTCTCGTCAAATAGCGCGATCAATATTATGATAAACCGTACTTAGATCTTTAACGCCTTTTTGAAAAAGCTGATTTTAATTATTATTTTCTTCTTATTTTGGACAAGATAATCTTGAAATCAATTCATTGAAAATAAATATTTTTTTTTACAAAGAAATAAACATTTCTCAATTCTTACATAACTAGTTAGTCGACAAATAAACATGGACAAGGCATGATTTTCGGGAGTTTTGATTATCTGTGTTTATCTCTTGAGCCTATTTGTAATTAATTGATTTTAAATTTCTGCAAATAAAAAAATTGAATAATTGGCAAGTTTATCAGACATTGAATCATTTAAAACATAGGGATAAAATTTGTAATTATAATTTAAGTCATTCCATGCTGCCATTTCTGTTCAATCGTACCCCCCTTGCTGCATATCATGATATCCAATTCAATCAAATTATACGACCCACATTCATGTACATCGTCTAATAGAACGAACAAAATATGTTTATTTTGATCGGAGAATTACCTTAGGAATAATTATTTTTAATCTAAAATATTAAGTCTTGCATATATTTAGTTACAGAAATATCATTTTCCGTTTTTTTCTTCAAAGTCTATGAAATAATATTGATAATTCTTTGAAATCTTAAATAAGTATTAAGCCGTATTTCGTTTTGAAAATATTGAATCCTAAATATTTTGAACTATTTTGAGTGAAGAATCGTGCGTTTGCGTTAACAATCGTGTAAGATCGTGTAACGTGTAGAATCGTGAACGTGAAAGATCGTTCGTGTAACAGGTTTAATCGTGCGTTAATCGTGCGGAATCGTTCGTGTAACGTGATCGTTCGTGTAAATTGTCAACAATAACGTTCCAGCCACTGTATGTAATAAATCCAAAGTCAGATGCTCTTTTATATGCATGTTTATACGATTTGTCGTTACGTTTCATTTACTCTGCAAATAATATGATGTCATCGGTTTTAAGCGCTCGTAACCAATACATTTCGTCCACTCTTTTTTTGTCTTCATTATATTTTACATGTTTAATTCAAATCATTATTAAAATAAAGACTCAAATAAATAGATCTATTTAGATTTTACATAAAGTTTACTTTGATGTCATATTGTAAAGCTCAGTAGCCTTCACATAGCTGCGTAATCTAGTCTCATCATGTTGAAGATAACAAAAATATTAGAGTCTAACTTTAATTTTTTTTATTACCATATAGCAGTTTTCAGTACTTTTCTGTAAAACATTTCTATTTTTTTGAAACAGGTGTATGTGTTTTTTATAACAACACACAACTTCAAACAGATAACAACATAAACTGTAGCCAATCCTCTTCGTGCCCTGGCCGATTTCTGTCCTCAGAAGCCCATCTGTGTAAGTAGAAATAATTCCATCGCCTACATTCTGTATGTTTATCTTTAAAACAGGTAAAAGAAAACATATAATAAGTATATAAAGAATAATAATGTATTGCTATTGTAGACGAACCTTGTAAAACGATCGAATTATCATCAACAATTCCATCAACAAATAAAACTGTAACTTTTGTTCCTGAAGATAAGTCAGAAGTGTATACTACTGTGGCAATGTAAGTACACTAAATGACATATTCCACTTGCATTTCAATTTTCAGTGTATATAAAAAGATTGATTGATTGAATTTTATTTCATTTAATCTTTTAGATTGGTTGCAGCAATATTATTTTTCTGTATTGGATTGGCCATTTTCATCATTAAAAGATGGAAAGATAGACGAAAAAGGAAAAGCAGAGGTTAGTACATAAATATTCAATAAGAAATGTATTAAACAGATAAAGGTGGGAATCACTATAGACTTTCCTTAGTTCTTTACAAATAAAGGATGGAAAAGGAAATTAATGACACTTTCAAACAATCATTGAGAATAACTTTTTCACGCATTTCTCTTCAGTTAGTGGATGCTTCACAGCAATTACATTGTTGGAAAAAAAATAACTTGATTTAAGTGCAAAAGATTAGATAAAATTCAGCAAAAAGGCGGCTTACATCAGGAAAAAAAAGTTAATATTTAAACTAAAATATATATTGTTTTTCCTTGATAAAACTAAGACAAAGTTTTTTTTAATAAATATACTTGTATCTACATGTGCTTGTTGATCAGTAGATATATTTGTAAAGGCAATCATGAGTTCTATAAGTGTTGGTAATTGACAGTTAAAGTGAGGAAACTGCTATTGGAATTAAGAAAAAAAAACAAATCAGTGAATTGTTACATATCACAACAGAATATTTGTTTTCCGTAGAGGACTTTTATCAGGAGGTTCGTCCGTGCTACAGTAAAGACCCCGAGTTTTCCTCAACTTACGGTAAATAAAAACACCGTGTGAATTGCTCTGCGTTACACCGAGCATAATGTGTAGCACAGTGTGTGTGGATTTGAAATATACTGGTTCGCAAACCGTGCCTCACCGTATCTTGAAAAAAAATCTCAGCTAAAGTCCTCCGTGTCGCATCGTGTCCAGTAAATTTCCCTCCAAGCTGCACAGTTTTATAAGTAACACAGACAAGACCGTTTGTTTCTGATAAAAAATAATAAGTAATTTTGATGACAATTTTCTTTAGTTAATGTATACATGTATAATGATCTATTTTCCGCAAGATATTGGGTTTTGAATAGCACACAAGCTTTACAGATATGTGAAATTGAAGCTGAAACATAATGGAAATACATTATAATGTAACATATTAGAGGGTGTGACCTAGCTGTGCATCTCCCTGTAGTTTACACAGACAAACAATTTTCCTGCAATTCAGTGACGGTATTTCCTTCTCTCTTTCTGTTTGAAAAGGCATTTTTCCTACTCATTTTATTCGAAGTTGCAGTGGAAATGTCTGAATCTGTATATCTGTTATCGATCTTACATGAACGTTCAAGCACTGTTCTCCTCTGTGTACATACCAGCCAGGTACATGTAACAGAAAGGGAAATAATTCAAACGAAAGTTTCGCAACGGAAAACGATATTCATTTATCAATACACTGCCATATTGAATGATCTTCATAAGCTTTGAATACATGTAGCATTTCAATTTCAATACAGTAAAAGAAACAGATGGCTGTAGTGGACAAGAAGAACACGAACAATTAATTGCTACGAATTATGCCCATAGTGAACAAAATGAGACAGACAATAAATCTAAAAGTGAACGACATATTTTTGTCCAAAGTCAAAGAAAAGCAGGTAAGCATCTTTTCAAGACCAACAGTAACATTCTACATGTGTATTCTAATGAATTCCTTTGAAGAAAATAGGGGTTCATCATTGATTATCGATCTTTCCATTTCTGAAAAATATTACTGTAAAACATTTTCATAAAGTACACAAAACTTAGACTTAAGTGGTTCATATTATATGAAAGAGTTATGTGGAAATTAAATTTAGAACGTAATACCATGACACTGATAAGTCTTATCACGACACATCCTTTCTTACTGTACATTTTCAGAAAAATAAATCAGAAAATTAAATGGTTTCATATTTTTTCATATAAAGGATAAAACTTGCTTTCAGAAAGCTTCCTTTTTAATTTCACAGTTTTTGCATTCGATTTATTTATCTTTGTGTCCAAATGACTTCGGAGGTCTTTTTGATATTGATGGAAAACTTTTTTAAGAAAATACATCTCCACACACAATTTATGACATTAATAAATGAAAATATTCAAAAAAGGGCCTGCCGTCAATTAGTTAATTTTGCAAATAGTATGGGTTCATCAATCCCACAGCTTTTTACTGAAAATTTTTTAAAGACATAAACAATAAATAAATAAATGACGATATACACAAATAATACATTTAAAATTACGATAAAAGGCATCAAAACACAAACAGCACATATATTATGAATTAAAATACAACAAAATAAGAATAAATCAAAATGAACGTCAAAGTTATAATTTATGAAAGGATAGTCTATGATTTATATTTTATGAAATAAAATAAAACTAGAAGTATGGTACTATGTGCAATGAGCTCAATAAATATTAACAGCCTCCCCCCCCCATCTCCTATACTGTCCAAGTTTTGCGATTTTGTTTTACGGAAACGTGTAAAGAGGAATGACTTGTGGTATCTAATGTTATTCAGAAGCCGCCATATCTCACGTCATAGGTAAGAATATTAAAGCAATGTTAATCTTTTGCCATGCGAATCCTAAAATACCTGTCGGATCAAAAAATAAAATATGAGGTGCACAATGGCAATATGTCATACAGATTTTGTGAAAGTGTAATTTAATTTCACTCAGTGGTACAGCGTGTAAGTGGAGTTGCGGATAAGCGATAGGAACCCCGAAGCGAAACTGACAGACGGACGGACGTGTGGCAGACGGACGGACCAGCCGATTACTATATACCCTCCATCTTTTCAAGCTGGGAGTATAATAAAGCAGTTTTCCTTAGTAAAATGTATACTTTGTAATTTCATAGATTCATAGTGCATGTACATTTACTCATTAATAAAAGAAACAAGCCTACTGGTGAGCCTAATAGCCGCAGGTACCTTGACTGTTGGTAAAGGCTGCCACAAAAGGGCGACCATGATGAGGTGTTCTTCTATAGACTTCAACCATTCTATAGAATTCAACCATTGGTTGACAGGGATAGGGAGGGTGAGTGAAAGTTTCAGTGTCGACTGCACCTTGTCACCTAAAATCTACTTTGGACGATTGGTGCGGATCTCAGGGTACCTAATAAATCTCTCCCGGCCTTTATTAAGACACTGCCATTGAGGCGCTTTCTTAACTGCATCACACCTTGCTGATTAATGCCCCCCCCCATGTCGCCGAGGTAAGATTTGAGAACATACTATAATAGTCATTATACCAGTTTCCGCAAAATTTGAGTTCTCCACCCTTATATCTGATTCTAAAAAATAAAAATTTACAAAATATTACTCAATTTGTAATCAAATTAAGTATTCTTAACATTTAAAGAGGCCACGATAAATTAATTAAGCGTGTTATTTACATGTATATTTTCTATAGAAGTAATTAACGGGTAATTTTATTCATTGATACTGTTTTGTCTTTGAACATTTATCCCGGCGGCAAATGTAATGCACCATACATTGAAAAGTAAATAAATACGCTCAATATTAACTCCTGTACACAATATAAATTTCCCAAAAAAAGTTTACACCTATGTAGAGAGTTTTTCAATGTCAAAAAAAAATGTTTGCACCAATGTAGAGAGGAACCTTAAATCTACCAACTTACCCCTTCCAGAAACAGGTATGTGAGTGGATCACAGGATCTGATTTTAATCAAATTGAGGTATGTGCTACCCCCACAATTAATAACTAAGCGAGGAGGGTCGTCAATCTTGAGCAAAATTCTGATCTTTGGACAAATTTTAGGTTAAGCAGGGAGGGGGGTGTCAAACAGGGACAGCCACTCTTCCCAGGGTTTTTTTTTATTACATGTAACTCGCTGAATGGCTTCGTCTGTAAAATATAAACCTTAAAGACACAGGGTTCTCACAATTGTATGCTTGTCTACTGTCTAGGGCCCTTGTAAGTTGTAACAGAGCTTAAAAATCAAAATGAAAACCTTCAAAGTAACTCAGGTGCAAAACGTGTCGAGAGGATCATTTGTTGAGCATTTTGCAAGGCTCGCAATTTTAAGGATGGGGCTATACTATTGATGTCTAAAAGACTGGGTTGAACTCGATGCGGGTCTGTTATAGGTATTTGGGGCTGCTTGAGTTTCTGAGGGCAAGGAGCACCATGCTGACTGTGTGTTTGCCGACACAAGATTTGATAGAGAGCGAGTTATATTATTGTGCTTAGTGTGTGGGAGTGGCTGTGAGCAAAGGATAAAAGTGTGACTTTACTGACATTGTTGTCTTGGACATGAGCCTTTATAATTAAATTCATAACACTTGAGTGAAGGGGGATTGCGTTCTGATCCCTGCACAGTGTGCATCGTCATAGGTCTGTTATACATATAGAGCAACCACAACTCTTGGTCAGCTACTGCAAATGATAATACAGGATTACGCTCTTTTTTAAGTCGGAACTGGATGCCATAGTCGAGCTAGCCCAACCCCATAATACGACTGGCGCCTAACCGTATTGTGTGCATATGTTTTAACAAAGATGCTGCTGCATGGGGATGAGCGGATGCATAAATCGTTGAAAAGATAAGGAAAGCGTCAGTCCATACTTGTAAGTCTGTAATGGGTTTTGTTTTAGGCTTATTCGTGACTGCAAGTTTCCCGTCTTTTAAAGAACAATTTCTGGTGTCATCATTTAGGTCAGTTTCTGGGACATTATTAAGCAGTATACCTAAATTTATGTACTCCCAATTGACAATCTTTATTTTTACATTGGTTGGGACGTTATGTCCAAACTCATTGTCATAGCTGGGTACAGCTGCCCTACATGCACTAGAAATAATTGTATCACCTGATGTTTCATCCAAAATAGGGGAGGATGCTGGTTCTACTACACCCCCCCCCCCCCTTGTGATTCTTTTATCAAACTGCTACGCTCTCAGTGACCTGTCTCAGTTGGTCTGCTGTCAACACCGCTGGTTCCGGGGATGCTGGAAGGCTGCTAACTGGTAGCTGAGACTGGTCATGTGCTGAAGGATCCAACAGCAATGAGGGGACAGCCGATGCTGCAGCAACAGCATTCGCCGATCGAGGACCCCGTCCTCTCCTTTGACCTTTCCTTGGCGTGAGCTGACTATTGCTGTCTGCTTTGCGCTTCGGCATTCTGTCTATCTGTAGTCGTTTCGCATTAAAAATATAGAAAATATCCTTTTCAAAAACAGCAAGAGCTCAAATCATCCGTAATTATAATTCTATTTAGAACCAAGACTGTAATTATTAGGCTATTAAGAAATTATATATAAACACGTGCTGCTCCGCATGGTCGCATCGCGGCATTTTTAGCCCAGATTTTTTTGTTTGAACCAATCTGTCGAAACTATTACAAATATTTATGCATCGAAGCATAAAAATGTGCAAAGAACCGTTTCCAAAACTTATAAAACTAAGATTAATATTTTTTCTAAGACAGGCCAGCTAAAACAATGAAAATTATTTGCTGATTCAAAAACACATCCTCACCTTTGAAAGTTTCAGTGTCGGCTGATGACACAACGTGGTGTGACGTAAAATTTACTATTAATGTAACACTAATAACCCCGGGAAAAAGAGGAATAATTCTATACGGGTTGGCAAACATACACTGTCAGCCGAACCCGATCAAAATAATAAAATATGGTACATGTATTTCACTTTGATAAATGGCTTTAACCTTGATTGGTTAAATCCCATTAATTTTTTTTTTATTTTTTATTAGTAAGAGATATATAGCTAATGCCCTTATCACATTCCCCGACCGGTGACCCTAGACCATTTGTAATCGGTGACAATCCGTGGTGTGAGCGATGCCCCAACGTTAGTTCACATCAGCATAGTAGTCCTAAAAGTATCAGTCACATAATCTAGCGATGGGTTTACGGTGTAAAACCAACGTGTTTTTGATTTTAAAAAAATGGCGTTGTTTCCGGTCGGACGTACAAGCCATTATGCCATTGCTAATCATAAATAATTTTCTAGCCTAAGGGTGATCGGATCGACCGATGTATATTACGTTGGTCATACATCGGTGAACATCGATCGTAAGTCGGTCGACTATTGGCCAAGGTTTGGTCGAACATCAACCGATGATCAACCGATGTCTGTTCCCCCACCTCGCAACCCCCGATGACATCAGATTCAACTGACAATTGACGAATGCTCTGACATTCATCGGCCAATCCTTGAAATATGTGTTAAGGGTGGGTTACCGATTATGAGCGATGTGGGGTTTCGTTGGAGACATCGCTGAATCTTAACTACAACTTATTTACTACCAATGACACCATAGATTCCCAAAATGGCCTCAGTCACCGTCTGATTACTCTCCATTAGCACAGAGCCGATTTAAACCGAATTTGCCACAAAGCATCCTTGAGTAAAGGGATTCAATCTTGTTCAATTGAAGCGAATTTATTCAATATATATATATATATATATATATATATATATATATATATAGATAGATATAGATATTGTTAAAAATCTTCATCTCAAGACTTACTTTTCCAGATAATATTAAACTTACAGGGATTCATCCTCACGTACAATGTAGCGCAGATTAAAATTTGTCCAAATCATGACACCAAGGGGTAGTGCAAAGCCACAAAGGCGGATCAAAGTTTTACATAGAAATATATAGAAAAATTCTTTAAAAATCTTATTTGTCAAGAATAGCAAAGCTATGATACGTCATATTAATATGGAAGCATTCTCAGGTAGTGTCGATTTAAGTTTGTTCAAATCAGGAACCCCAGGAGTTGGGCGGGGCCATATTATGGCCTACTATAGTTTATATAGAAAAATATTAGAAAACTCTTTAAAAATCTTCTTCTCAAGAATAACAGAGCCATGATTGGTCATATTTATATGGAAGCATCCTCAGGTAGTGTCGATTTAAGTTTGTTCAAATCATGACCCCCTCCCTCTTGCCTGGGATCATATTGGGGAAGTAGCCGTAATGTAAGTTCAAATGTAAAGAGCATTAAAGCCACAGGTAGTCAAAAAGACATGCAAGCAATCTCAGTTAGTGTAGATTCAAGTTTGTTAAAATCATACCCTCTTCCCTTTAAGGATTTGTTAAGACCATTTTTGGTGCTAATTTATCGAAGATTTATGATGATGTTTTACTTTTAAGAATTGCTTTAACCTCATATTTCATTATAATTATAAACCCTACAGTGTAGGTATGTCGGCTTGGCCAAGATAAGGAGTCCATCTCTACACGCAAAAAGTAGCTTTTTAAAATAAATCAATTTTTTAAAACACTTATTTCCCAGACTTATAACTACGAACAGCAGATATGTGGGGCAGCTGCCAGGGATGGGGTCCTGACTAAGCTCTTTCTATAACAATACACAATAATAAGCCCTACAGCCCCATGTAGGGAACTTTATTATTATTATTTTTTTAAATTCAAAGTCACACATCACTATAATCTAATATAATGAGCAGGTATTTCAATTAACCAGTATATCACAAGAGCAAATTGTATTTTTATTCATTTAAATAGTGTAGTGGAGAAAAACAGAAAACAGTCAATCGAAGCCTTGTAGCATATGAACTGTTAATTTTAAATCCTTATTGAAATTGCTACATCATAATCTTAAGAGTTTATCGATTAATTTCCTTTCTCTATTGATTTTTTTTTTCAAGAATATTAAATTAGTAGTATTCTGATTTGCATACATGATGCTGTTTTTTGTTTTCCATAATGTCCACTTGTATATATGAATGTAAATCATGTGTTCATGTAGATTCGCACATTTTGGGTTCTCTAGCGAATCCCAATAAAACAATACATACTTCAAATTTGATTGGATTCACCACAGGTACATTTTACATCATATTTTGTACTACTTCTAAAATTAGCATATTTACATTCATAGAATAAATGTTTCTGACTCTCAATATTTTATTTACAGAAGAAGCATTTACCATTTGTTAAATCAATTCTAATTAATTTTTTCTTCATGAATAAAATGTTACGCAAACATTTCCATTAAAATTATAGAATCTTTTGTTTCAATCTAACTTCATGAATTGAACTCAAAATTCTTTCAATCTGCAATATTTTTCCCCATTTTTCTTGAGATTTTGAGTGATATTTTTGTTTTAAAGTCTTTGTATATCTTTGAGTTTTATATCTTAAATCTTAGATCAAAGTAATAATATTGGCTTTAACAGGAATTGAATAAATTGATACAATAAATCATTAAAGACTTTGGCATGAAGGAAGACTGTTCTGGAAAAATGACGTCATAAATTTGGTATCTTTCTAGGTTTCTCGCAGAAAAGCCTCAGAAGGACTCATTTTTGCTCTTAATTTCCTTTAGATACTAGTAATAGTATCGGTCACCGCCGCCCACTACAATTTTTGGATATATTATGTAAACCTCTTTGGAAAATCACATATCGCAAAATCTTTGTGGGCGACGGCGGCAGAGTATGTGTTCTGAAAGGAAAAATTTCACTGAAAATTTGTCTTCTGCAAATTTGTCAAAAAAATACGCCAGTAAATGCATGAACTAATGACGTCAAAATGAGCATTTAGTAGGTCATATGAGGAAAATAAATCGGGTATTCATTACTGCATGGGATCCTTCATCGTCGCAAATCACGGCCAAATTGTATGACCTTCTCCCATTCTCGCCCAGGTTGAACTAGGAGAAAATTCTTCGTAGCTCATTAAAAAATTGACCAATGCGAGTAAAGCATAGTCGGATGATGAACTTTATTGCGACCTTTCAATGTCAAATCACAGTATAGGAAATATTTCTTGTATACTGTTGATGTCAGTTGTTGATTTCAATTGCGATGGAAACAAAACTTGCTGCTGACTCAACATGACGTCACAGAAGAGAGGCGTAAATATTCAAGATTACGACACTTTTTGTGATCAAGCAGCCACGAGTAGAAGAGACTCCGAACCGTGGCTTGAGACAATGGGGATCCTTATGATTCAGAAAGAATTGATTTTTAATTTTTTAATTTTAAAAATTGATTTTTAATTTCTTTTATCACTTTTGTATTTTAGAAAAACACAGGGCTCCATGGGTGAAAATGGGTCACATCTCAAAAATACGTTTAATTTTTCTGATTATATGTTGTGGATATCTTTTTATCCAAAATGACTCCATATAGTCCGAGAAACTCAATGTAAGCAGAAAATTAAAGTATTAACTAATGACCTTTAATTGTTAACGTAAACGATAAAATGTAGCGTCATAACGTTACACAAACACAATTAACTTCCTTGGAGGCCCCAGGATCAGTTTTTCCTTTGGGACGAGGTGTACAACTGGTTATAAAGTGGACAAACAGTTTTACTGTTTATTTCTAAAACATTTCTTTTGGTAACAGAATATATTAGAAGTCAATATTTAATCATGTACTTTAAATCAAAAAAAACGAATCATATTTTTTTTCTTTTCCAACCCTCCAAAATTGTATTTTCAACTTGTACCTTTACACAATCACTTTGTTTGTATGTTTAATGTTTAAAACAATATGACAAAATTATTTTGCTTTTTAAATGTGTCTTTATGAAAAAATTATTAGAAACTTAAAAATTTATGATCAATTAGACTAAAAAGTATTAAATTATTTCTAAAGAAAGATCTCTGTACAATCAAATATTCAAAACTATTTATGAAAACAATATTGTACAAAACGACATTAAAATATGAAAGGCAGCAGTTTATCTACATGTTTTTATATTCGTTTCTCTGTCCTTGAAATAGTAAATGGTAATTTAGCAACATGTAGAAAATTTTGATGGAATAAGAAATTTTATAGTTACTCTGTTGAAATTATTTTGTATTCGATATCAACAAAAAGGGGATAACTTTTCAAAACTTCCTTCCCAATTCGATTTGAAGGATTTTGATCAAAATATACATACGTATAAAGATACTAGATATTGTCATGTATAAAATATACAAAAAAATAACGAAAAGAATATGAGGAGGGGTTGGTTGTTGTTCTTCCCTAAATAAACATACAATTCTTTTAAATGAAGTTTATTACTAAAGTTATTTTAAGCTTTTTAAAAGCATCTATTAGAAAAAAAACTTTATATCAAAATCAATATAAAATCATTACTACTAACATTAATTTGCCTCCGAAAAAAAATTACTGGGTTTTACGATCTTCTTTCGCTTACAATTGTTTTCTAACCACAAGCTCTTTAGTACTTTTTGCGGAATAAGAACAACTTACTTCTCCCTTCAAAATGAGACGTCAAATGTTTTTATTTTCCAATTGATTCGTCGTGATTCTAAGTTGTATCGAATAAAAGTGGATTGAAAGGTAATACACTGTTATTATAATCTTGCTTAAAAACGCGAGGTTTTGTCCGTCTCTTACGCTTGGGGTACCCATTTCTTATCCGCAACTCTTCTAATACAACTGAATGAAATTTGATGAAACTTTTACATATTCTTCATTATTCTCTACATATTGTCATTGTTCACCTTCTATATTTTACGTTTTGATCTGACACATATTTTGGGTTTCCCACAACAAAACATGGACACTCCAACTATATTCATATGGTAGGCGGGGTTACCATTTAATAGTGAGCACAATGCTTTAAGTATCTTTGGTTTTCTATACCCCTGCTTGAAAAGTGGGAGGGTATACTGTAATCGGTCCGTCCGTTCGTCCTTCTGTACGTCCGTCTAGCTGTACGCCCGATCGTCAGCCTGTCTGTTACGATTTGGGGTACACATCTTTTATCCTCAACTCCCTTATTCACATATTGCCATTGTGTACCTCCTATTTTACTTTTTGATCCGAAACATATTTTTGGTTTTCCGGCCACAGTAAACATGGACTTTGTCATTACAACTATGAGGTGGGGGTATCATTCAGTAAGCTCATTGCTCACATTACCTCTAGTTTTTATTCTTTGATTTGATAATGTTGTCTTAAAATCTGCTACATAGTAAAAATATATTGGGTCCTTGAATACATAAGTAAACAAGGTATTGATGAATGAAAGGATGATTATTTTAATTTTAATAACTATTTCTAAATTCTTCTTTAAAATATTTGCTTAGGGTATTTCTATCATAAGTGTCGATAGTTTAACATTCGACTTTGCATCCTTTTGAAATGAATTCAATGATTTAATGAGACCGCACTGACTGATTGATTATTGGTGTTTTGTGCGGAGTCAGTGGTATTTCAGCCTTATTTCGGCGGAATAAAAATAATGATAGCTTATGCCTCATGTAACAAACAAATCTCGTTACTTAAGATTATTTTACTATCAGGCTGATTGCTAATTACATAATTTTGAATCATACTCATTTTAGTTAACATTTCTTGTAGATACCATTCAGCATCTTTTATTATTTTTTTAACGTAGTTTCAGATTTTGAAGAAAAAGTAGAGGTTCCTTTGCTTCTTAGAGGTGAGAAAGTGTTGATATAACAATCATATAGCAAAAGAGTTTTTTTCTGCTTCTACGCGTTTACTTTAAGATATACTTAATATGACAAGCATAAATTGATATTAATCTAAATGTACTATCATGGAGTTTAATTCAATGGAATTAAGATAAGACCATAAGAATATTTTCTTAATAAATGTATACATATAGTTGACTTCTATACATAGTAGTTCTTTATTCTTTTATTCTCCCGGGATAGTGGGCGTAAAGACTACTTCACTATACAGGAGATTTTACTCCAAAGAAGGGATTTCGGTTAAAATTTATTAAGAAGTGGACCACGCTCCCTGACTAGGAAGAAGCCAGTTCAGTATTGAACAGGTGGTAGGGAGGTGTGCACACACTTAAATTTACACTACTTCAGGGTGCTTCCATATCAATATTACTACATTGTAACCATAACTTTGCTGTTTTTCAACAGAAGGATTCTTTTCCCTAATGTATTCCTATCTCCCGTTACCCAAATCTACCCAACTTAAATGTGAACACATTTAAAACGTCAATACATGTGGGTATTTCTTTAACATTGTGACTTATAGGATTCCCTGTTCTTGAGCAAAGTTTTTTTTTGCAAGGTGGTGTATTTATTGATCTGGACATTTTCGGATTTAGTGTATATCGTATGCAACTGTAAAGTCTACTTAGATATAGGCAAGTTACTGTAATTTAGAGCAAATATGATATATTTCCTGCTAGAAATGAGAAAAATTGCCCAGTTGTGCATGCTTTGCCCCCACCGGGATGATATGCACTTTGGTTTTTGTTAAAAGTGGATTTTCCTCTTCTGATATTCACCTTTTTTTTGTATAACATCTTGAGAAGGACGTTGGAAAATACGGATAATCAAACAAACACATACATAAACCCTGAAATGTTGTGTACGAGTTGACAATACTCAGTCACTTACGTTTTAACTCAGTGGCGGATTTATGGGGGCGCACCCGGCGCCCCCCAAAAATTGTCAAAGTTAATGTAAATAACTATTTCGTATAGAAAATGTAAATTTGTCTACTTGGAAGACCTCATTTTAATGCTACAAAATCTCTACAATCCAGGTGCCAGAGTCCAATTACCTACTTTGGTGCCCCCTCTTACATAATTCCTTGATCCGCGCCTGAAACTGGTAACCTGTTGATTGGGTAAATTCGGGTCGATTCGGTAGAGGCGCTCCACTATGTTAGTGGGGTTACTTTGTATTTGCATATTGTCATATTATCAACGTATTTGAGAAAGTCTGTGTGAAATTAAAAGGGTCATATCTGAGACTGGGTAATTGACATTTAAAGTCGCCGTTTCAAAGGAATGCACTAGATTAAATCCCGTGCGGGCCCGGGGAATCAACTGCTGACAGAATTCCAAAGATTATGATATATATAATAACTTCTATTGACAATTTACTATGCGCTTTTATAAGGAAGATTACTATCGTATTATTTAAAGAATCCTTGGTATTTCAAAAGAAAACAATGTAGAAAAGATACACTCCATGCACCCCCCTCTTTCCTTTTTTTAAACTTGAAAAAATATCAGTTTCATTTATATACTTTTTAGCTCACCTGAGCCGAAGGCCATCAAAACTTGTCGTTGTTGTTGTCGTCGTCGTCGATAACTTTTTACATTTTAATCTTCTTCTCAAGATCCACTTGGTCAATTTCAACTTAACTTGCCATAAAGTATTCTTGGGTGAAGGGGATTCAAGTTTGTTCAAATGAAGGGCCACATCCTTTCCCAAGGGGAGATAATTATGAAATAGAGAAAAATTAATGGCATTTCAAAAAAAATCTTCTTATCCAGTAAAAGTCTTCCCCAGAACCATAGGGCCAGGAAAGATGAAACTCATGTGGAATCATCCTCAGGTAGTGTAGATTCAAGTTTGTTTGAATCATGACCCCTGGTGGTAGGGTGAGGCCAAAATGGCCGATCAAAGTTTTACATAGGAATATATAGGAACAATATTTAAATTTTTTCTACTCAAGAAACATAGGGTCAGAAAAGATGAAACTCATGTGGAATTATTCTCAGGTAGTGTAGATTCAAGTTTGTTCAAATCAGGACCCCTGGGCCTAGGGTGGGGCCAACATGGCCGATCAAAGTTTTACATAGGAATATATACACAACTTTTTCCTGCAATTACGTCACAATAGCTGAGCGAAGCCATTACTAGTCACGTGACGCATCCGCCATCACAACTGTGAAAACTGTGAATGCCTTAGTACTACACGATTATTAAAATTAAATTAAAAAAACTCTTATATTTTTTTTAATAATGCCAATCTAAAAACAAAGAATTTTTTTTACAAATTCATTTATGATTTATTATATTTATTACGAAAAAGGATGTTCACGGTGTGGCACTCCGCCTCTTCTTCAATATATGGATATAAACGGATTCCAATGCAGTTTTTCCTATCTAGGAAACTTAGATTTTATGTACTGCATGTAAATGCAACAGGGATTGTGGTCGAGGATTCACTTCAAAGGTTAAAATAAATGTAATAAAAAAATTTAATTAATGTTTTCTTTAAAAAAAATTAATACAGTAAGTATCTGAAAAAAGAAAAACTAATCCGCAGCTATAAATGTTAATTAAGAATAAAAGAATTGGTTAATTTGTTAAGAACAACATAGTTTCGAGTTTGTTAAAGATCGATTTAAAATCAACGCTAGAGTTTTTGATTTGTCAGGGCTTGGATTTTTTCATTGGTAAATGTTTGTATTGCAGTTATAGGCACGATACAATATAACATTACATGTAAATAAATATAATTATGCAGTTAAATAATAAAAAAAAAAAACACAAACATTTTTTTTAATTTACTTCATACGGAAAGTTGCTAAATAAATCATCGACAACAAAAAATATCTCGGTTAGTAAAGAAGATGGGGGACAAGGCGGGCAGAATGCTTATAGCGTCAGATATTAAGAAATCTTATTCAATATGTGAATTAAGTACTTAACTTCTCATTATTGAAATTCATGAAATTATTAGAAAAATACCTTTTCTCAGAGAAAAAAAACCTCGTAAAAAATTTTCTTTTCAATTCTTAATGCACACACGTGTACACAGGTCAAGAATAAGGCCACCTTAAAATAATGCTTGTTTACTGCAAATAAGCAATTTAATAAACAAATAATGCTTCTCAAGACTCAGGGTAAATTTATTTGTAAAATCCTTGTCCAAGAAAATTTAACATATTTGTTGATGAGATAAGAGATATAAAAAATTTCATGTCCTGGAATGTAAAACAAAGAGTTTTGAGACGGCCCATTTCAGTCAGTCGGTCGAGAGAGGGCAATCAAACATTTTTTAAAATTGTTCTAATCTATATTACTTGTATTTTTACCAGTGAAGTAGATTGCACTAATAGAATCAATATTGACCAAAGGAGAAAAAAATCTTTTAACAAAGTCAAACAACAAAAGTTTAACTTTTAGATAATAAGATATTTTATGTTGCAATAAAACTACTCTCCATAGATTATTTCCTCTATTGTTTCAAACATCTTGTAAAGGAGAAGTTAACACTACATTTAAACATAAATCATGTATATATATTAAATTTTCTAATCTTACATCTTCAATAAATAGTGAAATGTAAATCCTGGAATGTTTACAAATTGAATTATTAATTTTAATATGCTTGTTTAAATTAAAAAGAGCTTTGTTTACAGTGGTTAAAGTTGTCTCCCTTGTTACATATAGTAGCACATTTCTGCAATACACATATTTTTTAAACTAATAAATATTTATTTATAATAAAATACATCTTTTGACTTTATATATTTTTCTAGAGTTTTTATATGTTAACGACTACGGACCTAATTCATTTCTACAATAGAAATTTTACTCTAACATTAATATGAGGTAAAGTGACTTTTTATGAGCTAGAATCGATAAAAAAATACATGTATATGGTCATCGATATAGATTTTTGTTAGGGAGCGTTTCAAAAGTAGGCAACGGAAATCGATTATTACTATAGGAAGTAATGGGATATAGCGAGTTTGTGGAATTAAAGTGATAATTAAAAAAATTCTACAATAGAATTTTTATTCATATTAAGATAAAATGTTAACAAGATAATTTAGTAGCAAATAATGCCAAAAAATAAATAGGTCATCGGCCTAGATTTTTTAAGGGTGTGTGTCAAACTCTGGTGAATGGCATTTTTTTTTGTGGGGGGGGGGGGGGGGTCATTGAAAATACCTCGGCAAAATAAATTGTGTTGTTTTATTTCCATATTCTTCAATTTACTTTTACAATAAATAAAATAATTTAAAGTTGTTTAAAACTCTAGGGATGGTGATAAAGTAGGATTTATGCGAAATATATGCAAATAATACTCTAGGGATTGTCTCAAAGAACAATTTTTATGACCCACGTCCCATGGGACACTGTGAAACAAATCAATATCTGAAAGCCTAATTATTTCAAAAGTTAATGATTCTTAGCATACCCGTAATTAACTCAAATACTTGTACACGATACAGTGTTTGTCAAATTAGAAATAAGCATAGATAGTAAAAGTTTAAGTATAAGGGACTGTATCAAGATAGGTGTTTTTGATTTTCCGTTACATGCATGCTCTACTTTATGATCAAATATTCAAATACTGATGCATTCATCACGAAAATAGTACAGAAAAACAAAAGGCTCATGGGCCACATTGCTCACCTTAGCACACTGGCTAGAGAAATAAAAAGCAAAAATCACTTCAATATTGTGAGTTTACATTGGGGGGAGGGGGGGGGGCTTGAATTTTAAACAACCTGATGATGCTTCCATATCAATATTACAACTGGCTTTGCTGTCATTGAGCAGATGATTTTTTTTTTATTTATTAATTTGACAACCCCTCACATCTTATGGTCCAGCCCATCCCCTGGGGGCCTTCATTTGAACCAGTACAACTTTTACTACCTTATGATGCCTCCAAATTAATATGACTAAACATGACTTTTCTGTTCTTGAGAAAAAAAAGGTTTTTTTTAATATTTCTTGGTAAA